GTTAGATTGAATACACACACACACACACACACACACTCGCACAGTGACCAACCGCTTTGAATTTTAGGGAAGTCCAGAAAAAAACAGCGAAGGAGGAGCTTATTTGAGCCATTTTCAAAACTTCAGGAATGTTTCAAGAACTTTACCCAAGTAACACATAAAGCATCTTTTTGAAAAGGAATTGTTGTATAAATGCATTATAAGTGATGCATAAAACATCCCACGTATGAGGTTTAAAGAAGTTTTCTTCATACTTCCTAGATTCAACATTTTCCAAAATAGTTTTCTTTTGCTTTTATCTTTTAATGTTATTTAAACGTGCATTTTACTTAAATAAAACAGCAAAAAAGGTTATCTTCCATTTAATTCCACTTAATTAATTTTGGTAGCCATGACAGATACGTATTTCGACTACAATGTGCAGTCTTCATCAGTGTCATTCCCACTAAAGAACTATTCAAAATTCAACCCCCTTAAGTACTCATCCCCTAGGTATAAAAGCCAAGATCACAGGTATAAAAATGAAACTACAATGTGTTGAATCGGAACCTACCTAACTAATTAAAACCAAAGATTTAAAAGATATAAGTATTCTCCTTTAGTATACTTAAATTTAAAAAAAAATCAATAAAGCATCAGGACAGTCTCAATAACATCAGAAAAGCTGCAGGAACTTTACAGAAGTTTCCAAACTTAAGTTGAGGGAGTTAAGTAGGTTCAATCAGTTATGAGGACTCAGACCATGATTATCAGGAAGCTTGCGCGAATTTTTTGGGAAGATCCGAGAACTCCAGGTTCACAGTTCCATTACATTCATGCAACTGTTGGGATCGAAGAAGTTTCAAAAATAATAGAACAAAACTTAAGAAAAATATCGAAAACTTCTCGCCAACTCCAACTGAGATTCAGTTGGGAAGTTTAGAGATCTTTAGGACAGTTTTATTCATTCCAGGGAAATTCCAAAAAAACATCATCAGAAGAGTAGAGAGAACTTCACGAAATAAAAGAAATTCAAGAGGGTTCACAAAAATTTTAGGAAGCAGTTTCGAGAAATAAAATAAAATACCGAGGGTTACGGCAAAGTTTCATGAACGATCTGCGGGATAGTAAAGGAACTTCTGTAAAATGGTGGGCATATGACTTCAAGGATATCCAAACAACTCCACAAATTTTAAAAAATCATCTGAAGATAAGTCTGCAGAACTTTAGGAGAACTGTGGAAACTTTCAAGAAAGCTTGCCCTAGAGATCTCCATGGAAGCTCTGAGATCTCAAATTCAGACTTTCGGGGAAGTTTAAAGATCTGTAGTTAGAAACGTGCTCAACTTGTTGGCTCCGCTCTGGTACTATTTTCGGTCCCAAGCTAATCGATGCACCCCTCGAAATATAGGAAAATCCACGAAACATTTTATCAGTCAAACTTTCATAGCGAATCAAAACAAACATAGTGTGGTGCTAGAATTTTGACTAGTATGGAGTACGCTTATAGATGTACTTGGGACCAATAGGCTAGTCAAGTACTGAGCCAATTTGAAATCGTTAGTTTCCTTTCCACCGGTTGGTATAGTACTAAGATCTAAAAGTGTAAAATTCGATAAATTCAGGACAGCACAATGTGCTTCTGGAAAATTTTGAGAAACTATAAGAAGTACCGGGAATTTCACGAAGTGCCGAGGAATTATGGAACATTCCAAGACTTTCAGAAATGTACCAAATATTTCTAGAAAACTGTGGGGTCTTCAGAGAAATATGAACATCAGGAAAATTTTCGGAACGTAAGAGAAGTTCAGAGAAATTCATATAAATTTAGGGAATGCCATGAACGAACGAAAAGTCTAGGCAAGTCCAGGGCAGCTCTATCTAAAACTTGGGTAAGGGTAAAACTTATCGGCAATCAGCTCCTCACAATACTTTAAAATACTAATTTAAACGTGACGTTTGTATTTTTGAACTTGGCTTTTCTCAGGGGATTTTTTTTTCCTTGTTTTGCTTTCCGTCGATCTTCCATTCTGGGTGCCAAATGTTACCGACGCACAGTGGCACAAATCTGAATAAAGACGGTCAAAAATATTTCCTACCCTTTTTCGACGTTTTAGAGACTAGTTGTGTTGCAAGAAGTTGCTCAAATGATATCCCGCATCTTTTGAAATATACACCTGAATAATATTTAGGCTAGTATTACACATCCAAATTCTAACTTTTTCCAGTTACGAGATAATGGTTTCATGTCTTGAACAAAATTGCAGAGCAATGGTGTCGCGACACCACACCCAACGCTCAAATTTTCAGGAGTGCTATTTTATAAGGTGATCTTCCAAATACAATCGGTTTGAGACTCCATCAGGGCTCGCCTACCCTATTTTCGGGCCATTGAATATGGCATCACAAAAACGCTTGATGGGCTATATATATATATAACATTGACTATTTCGACTCGAGATTTGACTGATACCCCTGGAAACCCAGCGCTGAACTTTTCAGGAGTACTATTTTATAAGCTACTCTTCCACATACAATCGGTTTTAATCCCTGCCAGGGGCCACCTACCATCTTTTCGGGCCGTTCAATATGACGTCACAAAACCGTCCGATGGGCTGTATGTATATAATATTGACATTTTCGAATCGAGATTTGCCTAGGTACCCCTCGGCATCCAACGCTAAAATTTTCAGAAGTACTATTTTATAAGCTAATCTTCAAAATACAACCAGTTTTATACCCCGCCAGGGCCCGCCCACCCTCTTTTCGAGCCGTTGAATATGACGTCACAAAAACGCTTGATGGGCTGTATATCACATTGATGTCGATAAAAAGCATTGGTGTATTCAGCAAAGTTGTGTATTTTAATGATGCCAACAATTTCTTAAAACATGATAAATTGATCAAATTTGAAAAAGCACAGATTTACTCAAAAAACCAATATTAAGGTAGTCTTAAAAGAAAATCAATTGTAGCTCTACAGGGTTAAGATGTAGAAATTTGGTGTCTTTAGCAAATGTTCATAAAATCAACTGTTCTGCAACTTTGTTCAAGACATGGAACCATTATCTCGTAACTGGAAAAAGTTAGAATTTGGATGTATAATACTAGCTTCAATATTATTCAGCTGTGTATTTCAAAAGATGCGGGATATCATGTTGAGCAACTTTTTCCAAGACACCTAGTCGAACGTCGAAAAAGGATAGAAAATATTTTTGACCGTCTTTATTCAGATTTATGCCACTGTGCGACGCCAGGAAGGCAGCCTGGACCTGGACTCTACCTATCGAACCATCTACGCATGGACCGGGGACCAACGGCTTTACTTCTCTTCCGAAGGAAGGCGTGATCAGAAATGTTATGCTTCAGAAAATCCCGGCGGCGTCGGCTAGGTTTGAACCTAGGCCTTTTGTGATGAGAGGCAATCACGCTTACCACTACACCACCGGCGCCACTTTTCTCAAAGGATAAAGTTAGGCCGTCTTTTGATCAGCGTAAAAAAAGTTATGATCTTAATCTAAACTTACCCTTGATGAATGTCAAGAGATGAACTAGCCTATGGCTAAAAATCTCTCAAATAAAGAAAAAAAAAAAAACCCTTGATGAATATATCATTTAGCGGGGCCGGTGGTGTAGTGGTAAGCGTGATTGCCTCTCAACCCAAAAGGACTGAGTTTAATACCAGTCCGCGAACCTAAAGCCGTTGGTCCCCGGTTCATGCTGTATATATATATACAGCAATTCCATAGAAAAAAGTTATAGTGGGTCTCAGAATTTCATGAAAATTGGTATAGTTCTTCCTTATCAAAAAATATTAGACTCGTATTTTTTTATTGCGCCATTAGGGTGACCATTTCCGTGTTAGGGTGGTTCAAAAAATCATGTTTTTTCAAAAATGTATTTTTTCAAAAATTTATAACTTCTGAACCTCTTGACCGATTTTTACGATCGACCCTTCAAATGAAAGATGTTTTAATGTAATTTTAAGAAAAGTTATGAAACACTCAGAGATATTTTATTTTGTAGGAAAAAAATATGTTACAAATGCTTTTTCTTGATTTTCACTGCGAGGGTCTTCAACAACTTCTTATTTTAGTATTTTTAATTGAAAGATCATTTAATTGTACATAGCATATCAGCTATGTCGGAGAAGCAGTTTTGGAGATACATTTTTTTTTAAATAAAAATTATTGTTCCACAATATATGCACCACACGTGCATGGAAACGATGAAGACGCAAGGTAGTTCACAATGCGTCTCCATCGAGCCACAGCAGCTGTGACTAATGAAATCTATGAGTAACTTACAAGCTGGGTGCAACATTCAGTTCAAGCTGCGGGCCGTTCATAAACCACGTAGACCAAGTTTTAAACATTGCAGATCCTACCTTTCTCTTCGTATACTCAAATTTTAAAGCATTTCGTTTCAATACTCCTCCCATAGGGCCTTTTCCATGACAAGTTGCGAAAAAATGCCACACGGCAGCAATGCCAAAAAATTTTTGCATGTTGCATCAGTACCTAAGAGTCCAAGCTGTACCTCATAGGTATATCACTCGTTCGTAGGCAATGACTTTTACATAAGCTCCAGCCCAATAGGCTTCGCGGTGATAGTGACATTTGGAAATGTTTGGTGGTGTTTGTATTTGTTCGCCATATTCATCTATTTACCTGAAACAGCTGTTTGAAGTGACGTCATTGTTTACGAACAGGTGATATACCTATGAGCTACAGCTTAGACTCGTAGGTATATCACTCACTCGTAGGTACGATATAATGCTTCACATAAAACAACGAATGTTATGAAAGAAATGATCAGTTAGAAATCAAAGTTTCCTACTAGAACAGTTGAATTGAAGAATATCTAAAAATTAAACGTAAGTGTTCAATGTGTGATGTTTGGATGTTGAGTTCATGTGCCAGAAAAATCACCAATAAATTGTACGATTATGCAGTGGAAAAAAAGATTAAAATAGATGAGAGTAGCTCCTTCATTTGTCAACGATGCTACCACAAACTATATGCCGTTGCAGGACCATCCAGAATCGCTGCTGCAGGTACGTTACTTGAAAATTCATGTGATTCTTCTTTAAATTTCAATTCTTTTCTTCTAACTACTAACTTAAACTCTTCTTTTTTGCAATCATTTTGCAGAGTCCATCGAAGCAACCAGCATTGAATCAATTTCCGTTGCGGGACCGTCCAGAATGGTTCATTTTCCCTGCCAAGGTAAATAATAAAAAATAAATCATTTGTATGTTTTTTTTTTCTAATAATCAATCATTTTTTATATTTATTTTCAGAATCAGTGGAAACAACCTGTTCTGAATCGATCGTTACTACCTACAACGCACCTTTGTCGGACGAAAATGAATTCCTTATACAACTTAAGGATAAATATAAAGAAACAAGAGACAGCAATGAGCGATACAGGATTTTAACCACACTTCCCAAAAGTTGGTCTACATATAGAATTATGAAGGAGTTCAATGTTTCCCAACATATGGCCAACCAAGCAAAAGCACTGCAGCAAGAGAAAGGAATAATGTCGGTGCCTGTAAAGAGGTTAAGCAGAGCTTCATTAGGAGAACCAACGATAATGCTTGTTCGTGATTTTTACAATAGTGACGATATAAGTCGTGTTTGTCCGGGGAAAAGAGATTATTTAATATCTAAAAATGATGAAGGCGAAATCTATGTACAAAGATTAGTTTTGTGTAACTTGCAGGAGGCGTACTCCATCTTTAAAAATACATATCCTGATATTAAAATAGAATTTTCCATGTTCGCCAGTAACCGTCCGAAACACTGCATTTTGGCAGGGACAAGTGGCACGCATACCGTATGCGTTTGTATATATCATCATAACGTTAAACTTATTTTTAAAACACTACAAAGCAGACAATCACTGCCAGATGGTGTTGATTCCTATCACGATTTGTTTAAAAAAATAATTTGTCAAAATCCAAGTGAACAATGCTGGCTGCAGTGTTGCAAAAATTGTTCAGGAACGCAAATTTTGGCCACAGAACTAATGACTATTCTTAGTAACGGACATGTTGAATCAATACAATTCAAACAATGGCGTCAAGTAGAGAGATGCATTATGGACTTAGTTGAAATGGACACATAGGAATTTATTGATACTTTTTTAGAAAAATTATTCAATTTATTGCCGCATAACTTTATAGCTGAGCAACAGGCAAATTACATGAAACACGTCAAAAGCAATTTGAAAGCTACAGAATGCATCATTATCTGTAATTTTTCGGAGAATTATTCATTCGTTGTGCAGGATGCAGTTCAAGGCTTTCATTGGGCGAACGCCCAATGTACTATTCACCCTTGTGCTATTTATTTTAAAGACGAAGATGTCGTGATTTTCAGGAGCCCGTACAAAGTTGTTTGCCTGGGGAAGCTCCATAGTTTCTGGTTGAGCGCCGTGCGAAATGCAGAGAAAGCCAGGGGAACTCTCAACCCCTTGATGTTCTTCCGATTTGCTGCTGACCGAAGTCAATCACTGCTGCCGAAGAGAGAGCTGCTGCTGTAATTATCGCTTGTCCGGTAGACACGCCGTCCGTTCGTAGAATGAGCCTCAGCACTAGACTGCTGCCTTATTTATAGCTGCTTTTGCCGGTTGCCAAACGCAACCAATCACCACGCTGTACATTGAGGAGAAATCTGGGGAAACTTAGCAACCGTTCGCTATACATCCGATAGTGAAACTACCAAAGAAGAATCTAACGATTTGAAATTTACTAGTTTTATTGCAATTGCTGATTTCACTAAACATAAATCATGTCGCAGTTCGTTTATTTCTTGCACATTGTCTAGAGTTCCTAAAATGTAAATTACCAGGCTTACAACAGATTTACTTTTTCTCAGATGGATCAGGAAGCCAATATAAAAATAAGATGACCGCTTTTAATTTATGCAACATGCAAAAAGATTTTGGCATTGCTGCCGAGTGGAATTTTTTCGCAACTTGTCATGGAAAGGGCCCTTGTGATGCTTTGGGAGGCGTATTAAAACGAAACGCTGCGAAAGCGAGTTTGCAAGGCCACCATATAACAACGGCCCAAGAACTTTACTCATGGGCTATTTCTAAGCCAGATTCAAAAATACACTATCAGTTTTTTTCGGAATCCGATTACAATAAAATGGAAAGAAAATTGAAAAACCGTTATATACATGTGAACCAAATTTCGGGGACACAGTCATTCCATAGTTTTAAGCCTCAAAACGAAAAGTATATTATTGTCAAACGGTATTCATTTTCAACGGTAGAAAAATGTGTGAAATTGTAATTAAAGAAAATAAATGCTTCATGTTTTACTTATTTTTCTTCGACCTCGTCATTATTTGTAGCATTTAAGTACTTCTCCCAGAATTTTGATACCAAAATTAATAATGTCAAACTGGGGCCTGTTTTAAAGCCACGAAGACTTCAATGGGGGAGGGGAGTCCAGCCACAGTATACGCTCGGTAAAAATATTTTAAAATTTTAGTAAAGTATACGAGGGGGGAGGTAGGATCTGCAATGTTTAAAAATTGGTCTACGTGGCTTATGGACAGCCTCCAGGCTGAACTGAATGTTGCACCCAGCTTGTAAGTTACTCATAGATTTCATTAGTCACAGCTGCTGTGACTCGATGGAGACGCATTGTGAACTACCTTGCGTCTTCATCGTTTCCATGCACGTGTGGTGCATATATTGCGGAACAATAATTTTTTATTTAAAAAAAATTGTATCTCCAAAACTGCTTCTGCGACATCGCTAATTTTGTGAAACGGTATGTAAAATTAAATGATCTTTCAATTAAAAATACTAAAATAAGAAGTTGTTGAAGACCCTCGCAGTGAAAATCAAGAAAAAGCATTTGTAACATATTTTTTTCCTACAAAATCAAATATCTCTGAGTGTTTCATAATTTTTCTTAAAACTACATTAAAACATCTTTCATTTGAAGGGTGAATCGTAAAAATCGGTCAGAAGTTATAAATTTTTGAAAAAAGACATTTTTGAAAAAAAATGATTTTTTGGACCACCCTAACACGGAAATGGTCACCCTAATGGCGCAATAAAAAATACGAGTCTAATATTTTTTGATAAGGAAGAACTATACCAATTTTCATGAAATTCTGAGACCCACTATAACTTTTTTCTATGGAATTGCTGATATATAATATGGCATCACACGTCTTATAAATTTACACGATCTATATTTTAAACTTGTAGGATATATGACGCTCCATTTATGTGCATCATAGAAACGTAAATGAACCCAAATTTTTTAGCTGTGTAAAACCAAATTTCTCAGATAATCTCTCAAAATTTGACCAGGAATCATGAAAGTTTTTGAAGAATAAAAAGTCAGTAGTTTGCTACATTTCATTTTGTTACAGAGAGAAATCAAGGCATCCCGCAATCAAATATAGAGCAATTCCCTACGAATTCGCAAAGCGGTTAATTTTTGTATTTTTTTTTATTTGGTTGAAAAATTGCAGAAACGTTCCTTATGACCGTCTATGCCATTTTGCATCTTCATATTGCCAATTAGAATCCAGCCTTATTTTTTAAAAGGGTTTATAGAAAAATATCAAGCTTATCTTCAGATTTTTTTTACTCGAAAACTGTTTGCCCGATCGGTTTGGTGTCTTACGCAATGTTGCAGATAATGGATGAGACTATTTGAAAAAAATATGCACTCTAAAAAAAATTAATTCAAATCAAATCTTAAAAAAAAAATTCTCAAAAATGGATTTTTTTTATATGTTTTAGGGGACAAAAAAAGACATCTATGCACTATAGGTTAAAATGGAGAAATGATGGACAAAAAAGTTCTGTTTAAAAAAAAAACTCAAGTTTTTGGAAAAACATCTAAAACTTGGTCCAATTACTGTTTCGACTTTATATAATCAAATTTACATTTAAAAAGCGTTTTCGAGATGTAGCGGTTTGAAAGTAGATATTTTTATGAAATGTTGGTAGCTTTTGGCCATTTTTAAATGTCTTTCGCGGTTCTCCAGTTCCGACAATATTTTTTTTCAAAAATATCAAAAAAAATTGCAATAAAAATGCTCTTGGTGGCTCATCAAAATATTAATATCTTCTAAAATATAAAAATAAAACAATGCGACCTTTTTTCATGCACCTCATAGGTATAAACTTGTTGCTAAAATGCCAACATGCTACCTATTGCTAAGCAATTCATGGTACCAAGCGGCTGGGTTTTGAATTACCTACGTCCATATATAAGCCAAATCTACATAAGAAAATAATTCGCTGTGTATCTGTGAAAGTAACCTGCTTAAGTTCTGTAATTCAGAAGACGAAGCGGTAGTTAAAATGAATACTTTTCATTATAAGTGCTTTAACGTGTTTAGTGTTAAGTGTATTAAGTTGCTCGAAAAATTGCGAAATATCACGGATATTAATATAGGTTAAAATGGAAATTGATTGATCTGCTCATGCTCATTACAGCTAAAATGCTACTTTTCGAAATTATTAAATTATGAGATATTATAATTATAATTTTTATATGTTAGATGCAAGAAGAGGAGGTAAACATTGTGTATGACAAATAAAACCTGCAAATTTTGATTTCAACGGGTCACAATTAGTGATTAACTATAATGAAGCTTACTCACTCATCACGATTACTCGTTACAGCTAAAATAACTCATTGGCCCTCTCAAAGCAAAATTTACAAGTTTTATGTTCCATACACAAACTTTACCTCCTCTTCTTGCATCTTACATATAAAAATTATTATTATTATAACAGATGTATTCGATAAAAATTGCAAACACATATTTACTCTTTTAAATTTGTCGAACCTCTTAACGGAATCCCTTTATGAAGAGGTTTGAGTGTGTTGGTTTATTTCCTTTTAATTCCGTTATAATTGCTTATCTTTTGACAGATACGCGTATTTCGTCTACTACTTGCAGACTTCATCAGTGCCAAGTGCTAGTGTGGTGTAGTAGTGGTGTTGAGTATTTGGCATTGACGAAGTCTGCAAGTAGTAGACGAAATACGCGTATCTGTCAAAAGATAAGCCATTATAACGGAATTCAAAGGAAATAAACCAACACACTCAAAGCTCTACATATTTACTCATCTAAATTAAACCGATTATCGGATTTTATTGAGACACTTCTGCGTAAGCTCCGTAGACGTAGGCGCGTTGATTCCGACAGCTGCGAAAAGTTAAACATGCATCAATACCACATAAGGAAAGATCGATTTTACGTATGGTTTAGTTCATAGATCAACATTGATTGCTGTTTAAAAATGTAAGTACTTGAACACTAAGAAATAAGTTAACTCAAATGCTTTAACCGCATATATAAGAGATT